TTTGTACGCACCCTATGAAATTCATTCCCGGAATCGAACCGGTAAATCCCGTAAATTAATTTATTACGATCTGCCTTAGCTAGGGGCTGAACTAGGGTCTATTGCAGTGTAACCTACAATAGGGACTGAGTTGTTACCAACTAAGACAGGACTGCCAATCCTTTACATATTATTTTTGATAAATATTTTGATTCTAACTCTCTAGCTAGCATCACATCTATATCACAATCAGCAAAATGTATTATTAGTATTGGGAATTTTGGGATCAGTTCCAATCTCTGCTTATTGAAAAAATTTTTAAATTTCTTTTTTCTCATTCATTCGAAAAGAGACAAATGTTGTGCATGGATCATCAAAATTTTCTGAACTGATGATCACCACTCTTTGATGATGATCTGTATTTCAGACTCAAATTTTCTGCATTAAATATATTACTTTATTATAGCAATCATGGCAAATAATCCCGAAACGCTTAATCAATTATATGAAGTGCTATTATATAAGAAGAAAAATATAATAGCTATTCAGAAAAATTTGGTATTAGTAGTAATGCAAATCAAATGGTAAACATTAAAGCAAAAAGGTGGCAAACACTTGCTGATTCATATGAGCTATTGTTAGAATTAATAGAAGATTTAATGCTAATACAGAAGAATTTCAACATTAATGGTAATCCTGTTCTAGAAGTGGAATATCAAAGTAATAAAGCTTCTACAGATATTTTATTAAAGGAGATATTTAATTTGCTTATGTATTTAGAAGAGGATAGATATAATAGCAATTCAGAAAGAACTCAATATTGTTGGCTACACTAATTAAAAAATGATTATAAAACCATAAGAGAATATCTTCGAAAGTTTAAGAAATTTTATGGTTCTTTAAAAAGATGTTTCAAGTGTATTAATATAGAAATTCATTGATAGGGAAGCAAAAATGTTTTACTTTACTAGAGAGGGACTACCATTATTTCTGAAGGTCTCTTCTTAACAATTGCATGAAATTTTCATCAAAAATTCAGCTAGCACCGATCAGTGCCCATATTTAGAACAGGTTAACTAATCTATATTTTTTGTCGCACAGGATACATCTAGATGCAAAAATCTTTTGAGCTAATGATCATCACTCCAGACTGTTGATCTAGTAACTCTGGATTAGAATACTACTGCAAATTAGCTCGCATACTTAAATCTAAAAGGCTTTAAAGGCTTTGAGCTAGAGTCTATCTACTAGCAATATTGTTCTGTGTAAGATAATTTATAATCACTTCAATGAGATCAGGGTATGTTAAAGTTTCCTCAAAATTCTCTATGTGGATATTTGGATTTAATTTATTTACAGCTTCTTTGCTAATACTCTATCAAATTAAGATATTTTAAATTATGACATGATCTAGCAATTTCTTCGATAGTTTTATTAGTAATTTTATAATAGCTAAGGTCAAGTTATTAGAACTTTAAGCAAGAATGAATAATATTATAAATTGATATTTCAGAAAACTCTGTATGATTAGAAATATTTAAACATTTTAATTTATGATATGAAGCTACAATTGCAGTTAGACCTTTATCAATTTTTCATTGAAATAAATTACCTAAAACAGATATATTAAGATACTTCAAATTT